TAGTCGAGTAAAACACAGCCAAGACAAGTTACTTTGTACAGACCAAAGGTCACCTTTATGTTATACGATATAGTAACATGAATGCATGTAAGTCGCATTGCTGTAGCTTCTGTACTGTTAGCCAGCAACGGGTGAAAGGTCAATATAATAAATATATATGTGTGTGTGTGTGTGTGTGTGTGTGTGTGTATGTATGTATAATGTTATGAAATTTAAGTTATTTAGTCTAAACATTTATGTTTTCGTGTTACAATTTGTGTTCAGAGATTAATACAGAGATTAATTATTGAAAACAACACACAAAATATAGTTTTTTCTTAAGAAACATTTGATAACTATCTGAACGATAAAGATTTTGCATATGAAATTTGAAAATTTTCTGATGCATAAAAGTATTTTTAATTTTAAAATGAAAATTAGATAGGCAACATCTAAAAAGAAAAAAAAGCATGAGAAAAACATTGCTTTATAAACCTTAAGACTGAATAAAAAAAATGTATATTTCGCATGAAAGCATTGTAATGTTTATTGATAATGTGCCAAATTTTGTTAACATTTGCATACTAATATAAAAGTTATATCATGAAAACTATAACAAGCATAGAATGGTTATGAGGTCAGTCCCAGGGACTGAGCCTATGCTGAAAGAGTTAAGGGTATATAAGGTACATGTAGAATTAGCTACTGTCATAAGAACAGTAGCAAAAACAGGAATCCAACATAAAGTATAAACTATCTGCTATCAATTACTCTCATTGGCAGCATATCAATTTTATGTTACACAATAAAGTACATAAACATTATAACTTAGACAGTAGAAACAATAGGAAAGCAACTTTTAGGAGTAGTAATAAAAATTACACAAATAGCTAGTTCCAGTCATGGGGAGAGTAACATAAACAGGAAGTCAAATTTAAGGTTCATAATGAAATACAAACATGAAGTCAGTTACTTTTTACAGTACATAATAACATACCCAAAAAAAAGCAGTTACTGCAATAAAATATTAGTAACAGTATATTTGTTTCTTTGTTTCAGATATAAAACACACGAGTTATCTGAACTAGTCATCACTAGTTAAGGCATCTAGTGGACTGAACTCTTGGGCTACCCTAATCAAATACCGAGATTTAATGATTATTTTTATTCTGTACAACAGGAAACATATATAACAAAGTGAATACACACAATCAGTTACAGTTATGGAGAAAGTAACAAATAACTGAAAAGTAATTTTATGGTACATAATAAAGCGTATACAAAAACTGTTACTATCATAGGAAAACTAGCAAACAAAATTTTGACTCTTTCATTGCCAAAGCAACATTCATGTCCATGTGAGTTTGGAATTTTGAACTACCATGAATAAAGTTTACCAGTTTCAAGTTCAGAAAAATTAAGAAACATTATTACATGTTATTTTAAAATAATAAATAACACTCAAAAGTTAAAATGAGTACACAATTATAAATATTTTTAATTAAACAAAGTTTGACTCTACATGTTCTGACATCAACAAAAGACAATTGTAAGACATAATGGTGTCATACTTACCCCTTTTTTAACTAAGTGATGTGACTTGTTTTCAATTATTTCAGTCATTTCTCTCTAGCAACAAGAACAAGGTGAGAAGTTACATTAAGCAATTCCAGGGCTAATAGAGAGCTAAGAGAGTCGGTGTAAATAGTACAGTTAGTGTACTGCTTAGCTTCTACGTGATCCAGGGCAAGAGAAATGGCATAAAACTCGGCAGTGAACACAAAAACTGCAGAGGGAATCCTGTGAGCAACCACCAAGCCAAAAAAACATGGCAGGGCCCACATAGTCACCTGATTTCGAACCATCCCCCAAAACAGAAACAGAAGAATGATTCCAAAGTTGTTCGGCAAAGAGAAAATGGTTCTTCCAATCAAGAGTATATGCCTTCCTCAGATGGCTTAAAGAAAGGTAGGGATGGTAACAAACCAAAGCAGGATGGGCAGATCATCAGACTCAGCAATGTCATCCAATGACAGACCCAATTCAGCCAGCTGCACCTGAATACAAAGAACAAAAGGAGCAATGGCAGACTTTCTATTCTGAAAAAGCATAGCCCATCAACGAAGGAAGACACAACCCCAGGTGGAATGCTGTGGTGAGGATTGAAGCTTGGTAGCATATTGTAAAGAAGGTTGCAAATGGCAGAGTGAAGAGGAGGTTTGTGGGACTCAATGTACAAACTCTGTACTGTCAAAGTGCAGAAAGCTTATGCAGAGCCAAAGCCCCAGATAATGTCCAGGGTCCAATGTCTTTAAAGCAGAGGGCCTGGTAGAATCATTGACCAGAGACCCATAGTCCAGCTTGGAACAAATGAGGGCATGATAGATCATCAACACGGAACATTGATTCGCTCTCCAAGAGGTGGAAGAGAGGACACAGAGGATGTTCAGTGCCCGTGTACACTTGACACGAAGCTGCTTAATGGAAGAAATTATAGTAAACATATGGTCAAAGATAAGCCCCCAAGAACTTCACTTCAGGAATCACGGGAAGAACAACAACAATGAGACGAAGCTCAGGATCAGGGTTTAACCCTATCGAGATGGGTAGGGGTCAGAGGACATGTTTGTAGATTTACATTCAACATTTTATTTAGCTATTATTTTATAAACGTATATCAATAAGTTTGGTATCAAATTGTAGATTATCATTCAAATTTTAGTATTATACATTAATTAGTTTCTTAATTTGACACTAAAAAAATTTAAAAAAAAGGCTAAATATAGATTTTTATGTGTCACGTGGCCATCTGGATTTGGTCAGATTGCATTTTCTGATGTCCCCAGTATAATGTCTATAGCTTCATACGAATTATAAACTCAAATTTCCAATATTGACAAGCTTGAGTATCAAAAAAGCACCTCCTACCTTTTCTATTTGCCGAGATATCACGATATTTAGCGAACCCATCATATTGGCTCCACCCATCACTTCTTCATTTGAGAAGACTTATTTATCTATGCATACTTATACTATACATACCAATAACTTTATAATCAATCGAAAGCCATACAGTTACTCTATATAATTGTGTCAGTCTTCCTAAGTTATTTACAAGAAAAATGATCTTATATCATTGGATAGTTTGAAGTATTGCTATCAAGGCTATTTTGTTAGAAATATTTTTAGGCCCAAATACAATTTAGTTAGGAATCCTGATAAATTACAGTATGGCTCATGATGAGTGCAAAAAAGGACTTTGTAGCATCATAAGTAATAGATATCATCGTTTTCCAATTATTTATTATTTACTGTTTAATGTTTGAAGAAAAATAACAGACATCTCAGTATTTATTTAAAAATATTAGTTATTATATATATATATATATATATATATATATATATATAA